TTTATTCAAACTTCATATAATTTTAAATATCTTAATTTAATTTTTAATAACACTATTACAAAATAATTCTTGATAGATTTCTTTTTCCAATAATTTTAGGCATAAGACTTCTTAAACTTTATAACATTCTATTAAATATGTTAAGTTATAGTGATTAATAGCTAATTATTAAAGCAGCATTAATTAAATCATTTTATTAAACACCAAGTTTATCAATTTAATAATTTTGCTATTATTTTTTTACATTATTAAATGAATGAATCAATTAAGTAAAAATAAATTATCTTTTTTGAAATTCTTCATAATCATTTTAAGTAATGATATTTTCTTAAAAAGAATCAAATTTATTATCTAATATTTATTTGAATGAATTCATTAGTGCATATTTAAACCATGAACAATCTAATCTAAATGATAAAAGATTTAAATGTAAAAAAGAAAAATCTTATCCAAAATCTACATCTTTAAAATATATATCTTAACATTCAATTAAGCTTTATAGATAATGAGAACAATTTAAAGGTAAGAAAAATATTTCTAACATTTTTTAAGTACAAAATTATGTATGTTAACCTCTAAAAGTAGTTATATATATCTAAACAAAATTATAATTTTTATCAATTTTTTCTTATTAAATTTATTATGCTACTGTATTTTCTATTGTTTAGAGATTAATATTATTTTGTTCTTCATCATAATTTTCTAAATCTTCATATATGCCTTATAACAATTTAAAAACTATTTAATTTACAAATAAAAAATAATGAAATTTGTGATAATTATTCATAAAAATAACATGTGTTAACTGTTTAAATTCATCATCAGCATGAAAAGCATAAAAAATTTATTCTATTTTTTCTCCTTGAAAAGGTCCTAAAGATTCTAATACTAATTATCTTTCAAAAATATTTTCTACTATCATTTAATTGGAGTTCTCATCAATTTATTATAATATAGAAGTTATTAAAAAGAGATTCTTATGATTTATTTCAATGAACCAAGATATATATTTAATTAATATATTGTGATAAAATAGTGCTTTGCTAAAAATTTCATAATAGTCTTATAATTGAATAATATCTATTAATTTTGTGAAATTTTTCTTCACAGCTAAATGATAAATTTTAACATAAAATGGAATATTAGTACTCTTAGGTTTGATCTAAAGGTATAATTAATTTAAGATGTTATTGAGACATTTTATAAAAATTTAAGTGTTATTTTAGACATCCTCAGATATTTAAGCTATAATTTCTTGTTTATTAATCTTAGAATGACCTTGATGATGATCACAAATTCCTAAATTAATAGAATTTATATCTCCACAATCACAACATCCACTGCTATCTCTAAGTGCAAACTTATGATCTAAAATATCATTAATAATACTTATGTGTTTTTTAATATCGAAACATTTGATGCAAATCATATGATTAAAATCTCCAGAACAATCAAAACATTGAAAACTCAAACTGCCTTTATTAATCTGCGCTCCACAGACTGAATGTACTTTTTATGTAATATCTTTTTAGTCTAAAGAGTTTTTTGAAATCAGAAGATTATACAATTCATCCATTTCTAATTTTCCTTGATAATTATAGTAAAGATCTTCTAATGCTTGTTAAATAAATTCTTTTGACTACATTATTAATTAAAATAGTTATTAAAAATTTTTATTTTATTATAATAAATTTAAAAATCAAAGGTCTCATTTATAAATTGTTTTATGGAGAAGAAAGTAAAATTTATATGTTTATATAAATACAATATATATATATATTCATAACAATATAAGAAAATCAATAATTATTTTAATTTTCTCTTTCATTTATTTAATATTAAATAAGTATTATTAATAATATTAAAATTCCAATTTTTATATATTTATACAATTTTCTAAAATTTCAGCATATTTGTTAAGTAGAATAAAGTCTTGAATTTAAAGAAATGATAGGAAAAAAGACATATTTATATGAATTATCTATTTAACTACTAAATTAATTGTAAATTTAATAAAAAAGTTAAGTTGATATTATTTCTTTGATCATCAAGGAATGTATTATCTTTAGATTAAATTTTAGAGATACTTATATTTTTATCATATTATTGTTTAATGATTCATTATTATATTTAAATAAAGTGTTAAAGAGATTAGTTTAAAGGAATAAATGTCTTAATAAATGTTAAATATAAATATAAATATAAACATAAAGTCATTTGTTTTACTCTAATATTCCACTTGAATTACATCGTGATAGTGATTTTTTATTTATACTTCTCTTTCGTAAACGTTCATTAAATTAATGTTCTTGTTAATTGACACTCTTTTTAATCATAGAGGTGTGTCTAACATTAATTTAATTAATTACTAATCCAATTTCTCATGATATTCATCAACCATTCCTTATACTTATTCTGGTTAGTATTTTACAACTTAAATCACTTATTCTTAAATAGCCAGTTTAATAGATTTCTCTTTTTTTTTATTTCGTATATAATGTTCATCTTCTTCTATTGGAATTGGTGATAGATTATTAATTTTTTAATTAACAGGTGATTATACTTAAGTGACAAGTTTAGTTTTGAGACAACTAATTTATTGCATTTCATAAAGAGCATTTTAGATTTTATCAACAAAGTAGTACTTAATGTCATCTTTACGACTGTCATAAAATTCTATGCATTGCTAATACATTTGCACTACTTGATTAACACGTTCGATAGTGCATTCTTTAACAATCTTTTATTCAAGAGTAGAGAGTATTGTGAAAAATTGTCTAGTAAGTGGTTAAGGACGATCTTATTTAAAATATTCTTCAGGTGGTACAATGGACATATCTTCTTGTTAACGAGGATCAGATTTAGTGCGTGATCTACTACCTCCTAATTATTCAAATGCTTGTCGAAAAATTCTCATTCTTTATTTAATAATAAAATGTTGTAATTTTAAAAGCAAGAACTCAATGAATAAATATCAAATGTCTAATATTTTTTATTTTATATGAATTTTATAGTTTTTTATACTTAACTAAAGTCAAAATAATATTTAATCGAATTGCAATAATTCTATAATTCATATCAGTATTATATTTCATCAGAAAGTTCTTTTATCTTATAAATATCATGTTTTATCAATAGAAATCATAATGACAATCATAAATATGAATTTATTGAAATGAATATCTAAATACATTGTATTATAATAGATGTTCAGTTCATATATTTAAAATGAATCCATATTTTTATATCCAAAGAAACTTAAGAGTGATAAGGAAATAAAGGATTGTTTAGAGTTAGTAGTTATTCTATCCAAATTGCGGTTACTCAATCATGGATAAATATTATTAAAATGGTTTTATGAATCACTCTTACGATTAATTGTAAATTTAAATAGGATTATGATTGATAAGGTTGATCAATAATATTATTACAAGATAATCTTTCATCATGGTTCTTCAAAATAAAATAGATAATCAAGAAATCTCAGAAGTTCATAGTCCAACAAAAGCTTCTGGAAATGAAATTAGAATGATTGGAAATAGTAATTTAAACCAAATGAAGAAATCTAAAATGAAGTATATGAAGGTGTCATTGTAAACTAAATAACAATTACATTAAATGGTTTAGAGAGATGGAATGAAAATTAAAGAAGTAATGATTTTTTAACTACATGTATATAGGCTGCTAAAATTCTTGGTATCAAGTATGCAACAGCAAAAACTATAGTGTACCATAGAAGACTTAAGCGTATAGAGAAGGGAAAATGTGGAATAAGAATGTGTGGTTATACTGAATTGGTTGATAATCGAATTTCTCGTTTATAGATCATTTCAATAACTGGAAATGATGTGAAGTATTGTAAGGAGTATATTCTGTGAATACAAGATTATGATGTTATGTTTCTTGTTGTATTGGTATAATCAATATAAATAATTAATCCTTTATATAACAAAAACTATGAATAAGTATATTGATATAGGAGACAAGAATTTAGGTTATGAAAGTAAAGTTAATTTAATAAAAAATAGACATATTCAATTGTTTTCTATTCTTCTTTCAATAGTTTTGAGATCAGAATTTAATTTTTTGACCACATCATCAGCAGTAACATTAGTTCCCATTTTTTTATTGTAGAGATTAGCTATGATAGATGGATTGTTTCGAATTTCTTAAATTGGAACACTCTTTAAACATTAAGTTAAAGCACTAATAGATTCATTTGAATTATTCATTATAATAATTATAATATTATCTCATTTATTATTTGGCCATTTGATTTTCTTTAATAGATAATCAATTAATATTTCAGGATTGTGCATTTTAAGTGTGTTTTAATTTATCCATGATACTTTTGGTGCACGATTATTCTTTTATTTCCAAGACACTTAAAATAAGAGGTTTTAACCATCGTTATCTTTTCTAATTTATAAAATTTCATCTGCAGAATCACCATCATCATAATTTCCTTCTCCAACTTCTTAAGGTTATTTTTATTTTAATGATTATTCAAAATCTAGTACATAAGTCATAACAGATTGTAAATTTTCTATGGGTTCCCAAGTTTTTTCATTATCAGAATATCCCTACCATTTTACTTCATATTCAGTTCTTCCATTCTTAACTCGTTTATTTGTTATAGCTTCAACCATATATTCTTCTTATGATGATACTGACACAGGAGAACCAGACATCTTTAATTAAATTAATGGCGCCCTTAATTAACATCTTTTACTTAAGACTCTATTAATTGTCTGGTTTTAATTTGTTTATAATCACATTATAAAATGGCTTTCAATGTTCTGAAGTCAATCTGATAATCATATTTAAATAATTTAATTATCATTTCTATTAATTTAGATCACTAAGAAGATAATCTAATAAAATATATTTTGAATTTACAATATTTTTGATATATATATATTATCAAAAAGTGAATTGATGTTTCTAAAGAAGATATAATTTTATATTATTATATAAGATTAATTAAAATAATAATAATAATGCCACCTAAAAAGGATGAAGTTGATTTGAATGCTTTACCACCACTCAAGCATCTTTGTGTTGGTATTAGAATTGAAGCTGGAAAGACTCGTGCTGGAAAATTATTAAATTTACTCAAAGAATGCAAATCATTTCAGAAAAATATAACTAGAGAAGAAATAATCAATTTTTGTAAAGAGAAGTAATTGTATGTTGATCCTGCTACTTTAACTGATAAACAAAAGAAAGTACACTTTTTGTTTTGATATTAGGATTCTAAATTTATGGCAGAAGTAGCTACAGAATTAACATCAGAAGTTATGAATAAGGGATTTTAGATGTTCATTTAAGATTAAGTCTTATAAATAAGGAAAGCTAAGTATTAAGCAACTTAAGCATAAGCAGCAGAGAAAGCTGCACCACCAAAGAAAGATGACAAGAAAGATGCAAAGAAGGGAGGTAAAGAAGCAGTGGCAGTTGCACCAATTCCAGAACCTGAAAAAGTTGTACCTGAGAAAGAGTACACTAAGAATTTTGATATTGTTTTTATTGTATAAGGATTTCCTCAAGTACCATAAGAATAGATTGAATTTATTATGCATGTCAAAGAGAAAGTATTTAATTGGGGTGGAATTGATATGAATCTATTAGAATAAGGAGAGGATTTCTAAGAAGAATTGGAAAAGAGAATGGAAGAATTTGTATAACCAGTTACAATTAAGAGATCTTATTCAGAAGAATCATTACATTATACAGCTGCAGAAAGAGCAGTCATAGAAGAAATCAAAAAATAAAGAAATTGTTCACAAAAATCAGATCCACTTAGATAACTTACAATTAAGGAATTAATATTGGAAATGGATTTAGAAGCTGAAGAAGAAACACTTAAATAATTTCATGAATAATTAATTGAAGAAATATGTTAATTTAGTGTAGATCAATAATAATTTAATGAATGGATTGTGAATAAAAAACCAATTCCTTTAATTACTAAGGAAGCACCAAAAGATCCATTTGATTTAGAAGTTGAACGTATTAAGCATGAAGCTCATTTAGCAGAAGAATAATAGAAGGCAGCAGAAGAAGCAGTTGCTGCAGAGAAAAATAAAAAAGGAGCTAAGAAAGAAGCTAAGAAAACTGATGCAGAATTAGAAGCTGAGAGATTGGCTGAAATAGAAAAGAATAAATAAAATGAATTGAGAAAATAATAAATTGAAGAAGCTTTGGAATAACAATAAAAAATGAAAGACAAATTACATTTATAATATTATAAGCGATAATTATCTGATGTGCAATTATCAAAAGTAGGACCTTGTATCTTATTAGAATGTTTATTAGATTAATTATCTGCTGAAGCTGCTTATATATAAAGTTCTAAAGTACCTCCTTGTTTAGAGGATTAAGAAGATGCAGAATAAGTTAATAGACTTTTAGCTAATCAAAAAAAAGATTAATAATAATAAGTAGAGAGTGCTAAATAATTGATATTAGATGAATGTGATTATATTGAAGTAAGAGGACATTTAGGTTAATTGCATGATTAATAATTTATTGTAGAGAGAGAACACAAAATATTTGATAATTTATGTTTACCTGGTATTGATAGATAAGGTATGCCTGAAATAGCAGAAAAATCAGAAAAACTAAGAAAAGCTAATAAGGCAAAGTTACATCCATTTATAAATGTAGATGTAAGTGAATTTGAAAGAAGACAATTACTTTTATCTTTTGAAGAATTACTCAAAGAAAATGAACCTGAATAAGATTGGAATTTGGGAGATCGTATATATTTAGAGAGACATAATAAAAATACTCTTAGATAATAGTTTTATGAAGCATTATTACATGATCCTCAAGTAGTTCTAAAATATTTACCTGATGATGATGCTCTTATGGTTTGTTGTTATTATAAGAATCCTCCTGGAAGAACATTAAGAAAGAAATGGTCAGCTGAATGGAGAGTATTACCAAATTTGGAATACTTTATTTAAGTTCGTAATTTTAATAGTGAATACTATTATGATATTGATTATTAATAAATTGGTGCTATTACTGAAAGATCAAAAATAATGTATCCAACTGATAATTCATTAATAATTGCAACCAAATTTACAGTAGGAGAAGTTGAACGTTTAAGATATAGAGTTATTAAAGAAAATGTTGTATTTGGAATATAAGGAGGTTTTTATGCATAATTTAGAGATTTGAGAATGAGTGCTTAAGATTAGATAATGAATTTGACATTTAAGAATGGTCTTTGTTTAAGGTTTACTTAAAAGGGAGAAGTAGTTTAATAATATTTGTATTAAAAATAATAAGAATAAACTTAAACATTATTAAATTTATATGATAATGCAGAAATCAATCATGAATTAGAAATTAAAAGAGTTATTACAGGATAAGGAACAGTAATAGTTTATAAAAAAGATGGTTCAATCATAGTATTATATGCAAATGGTAATGTCTCTATGTACAAAAATGATATGTGGATAACAACTAATAATAAAGGATTTAGAAAATCATAGAAGGGAATAGAAAAGATTCCTTGTGCTACAAAAAATGATCCTGAAAGTGGTGCCAAAGTTTATATTAGAGATGATCAAACTCTTATTATTTATTATAAGGATGGATCTCAATATACTTAACATTATGATGGAACCATAATGCTTATAAAAGGAGATAAGGTGATTGTTGAACATCCTAATTTTGCTAGTGTTGTAGTCACAATAGACAAGGTGAAATAGAGAACTGGAACTATTATTGGAATGGGCAGTGCTTATGCAAATGTAGGTTTTGATAATATATTTGAAAGAAGTAATGATGGTAGAGTAGTTGAAACTTATTATTAAGGATGCAAAATCATTTCATATATTGAAAAATAAGAATTACCAGAGTATAAATAATATAAAACTAATCGAATTCATTTGATGTACACTTAAGATGGGAGTGTTGCTAAAGTAGTTGATGATGGAGAAATTGTTATTGTAACTGCTGAAGAGAGAGTTAGACTCAATAATAAAGGAGAGAAGAAACCATTAGGATAAGATTTAGATTATTGGTTATAATTGTTTTCTGTATCAGATGAACGTAAAGCTGGAGTTTATACAATTGATTTGACTAGAAAATGTATTTTTACAAAAGATGAAGAATCTAATTATTTCTAAATTGATGAAGATGGAACTGTTACATCTAAGATATCAGTNATTTGGGAGATCGTATATATTTAGAGAGACATAATAAAAATACTCTTAGATAATAGTTTTATGAAGCATTATTACATGATCCTCAAGTAGTTCTAAAATATTTACCTGATGATGATGCTCTTATGGTTTGTTGTTATTATAAGAATCCTCCTGGAAGAACATTAAGAAAGAAATGGTCAGCTGAATGGAGAGTATTACCAAATTTGGAATACTTTATTTAAGTTCGTAATTTTAATAGTGAATACTATTATGATATTGATTATTAATAAATTGGTGCTATTACTGAAAGATCAAAAATAATGTATCCAACTGATAATTCATTAATAATTGCAACCAAATTTACAGTAGGAGAAGTTGAACGTTTAAGATATAGAGTTATTAAAGAAAATGTTGTATTTGGAATATAAGGAGGTTTTTATGCATAATTTAGAGATTTGAGAATGAGTGCTTAAGATTAGATAATGAATTTGACATTTAAGAATGGTCTTTGTTTAAGGTTTACTTAAAAGGGAGAAGTAGTTTAATAATATTTGTATTAAAAATAATAAGAATAAACTTAAACATTATTAAATTTATATGATAATGCAGAAATCAATCATGAATTAGAAATTAAAAGAGTTATTACAGGATAAGGAACAGTAATAGTTTATAAAAAAGATGGTTCAATCATAGTATTATATGCAAATGGTAATGTCTCTATGTACAAAAATGATATGTGGATAACAACTAATAATAAAGGATTTAGAAAATCATAGAAGGGAATAGAAAAGATTCCTTGTGCTACAAAAAATGATCCTGAAAGTGGTGNAATAAATTGAAATGGCTTTGGAATAACAATAAAAAATGAAAGACAAATTACATTTATAATATTATAAGCGATAATTATCTGATGTGCAATTATCAAAAGTAGGACCTTGTATCTTATTAGAATGTTTATTAGATTAGTTATCTGCTGAAGCTGCTTATATATAAAGTTCTAAAGTACCTCCTTGTTTAGAGGATTAAGAAGATGCAGAATAAGTTAATAGACTTTTAGCTAATCAAAAAAAAGATTAATAATAATAAGTAGAGAGTGCTAAATAATTGATATTAGATGAATGTGATTATATTGAAGTAAGAGGACATTTTGGATAATTGCATGATTAATAATTTATTGTAGAGAGAGAACACAAGATATTTGACAATTTATGTTTTCCTGGTATTGATAGATAAGGTATGCCTGAAATAGCAGAAAAATCAGAAAAGTAAAGAAAGGCTAATAAAGCAAAATTGCATCCATTTATAAATGTAGATGTAAGTGAATTTGAAAGAAGACAATTACTGTTAACTTTTGAAGAATTACTAAAAGAAAATGAACCTGAATAAGAATGGTATTTGGGAGATCGTATATATTTAGAGAGACATAATAAAAATACTCTTAGATAATAGTTTTATGAAGCATTATTACATGATCCTCAAGTAGTTCTAAAATATTTACCTGATGATGATGCTCTTATGGTTTGTTGTTATTATAAGAATCCTCCTGGAAGAACATTAAGAAAGAAATGGTCAGCTGAATGGAGAGTATTACCAAATTTGGAATACTTTATTTAAGTTCGTAATTTTAATAGTGAATACTATTATGATATTGATTATTAATAAATTGGTGCTATTACTGAAAGATCAAAAATAATGTATCCAACTGATAATTCATTAATAATTGCAACCAAATTTACAGTAGGAGAAGTTGAACGTTTAAGATATAGAGTTATTAAAGAAAATGTTGTATTTGGAATATAAGGAGGTTTTTATGCATAATTTAGAGATTTGAGAATGAGTGCTTAAGATTAGATAATGAATTTGACATTTAAGAATGGTCTTTGTTTAAGGTTTACTTAAAAGGGAGAAGTAGTTTAATAATATTTGTATTAAAAATAATAAGAATAAACTTAAACATTATTAAATTTATATGATAATGCAGAAATCAATCATGAATTAGAAATTAAAAGAGTTATTACAGGATAAGGAACAGTAATAGTTTATAAAAAAGATGGTTCAATCATAGTATTATATGCAAATGGTAATGTCTCTATGTACAAAAATGATATGTGGATAACAACTAATAATAAAGGATTTAGAAAATCATAGAAGGGAATAGAAAAGATTCCTTGTGCTACAAAAAATGATCCTGAAAGTGGTGCTAAAGTTTATATTAGAGATGATCAAACACTTATTATTTATTACAAGGATGGATCTCAATATACTTAACATTATGATGGAACCATAATGCTTATAAAAGGAGATAAGGTAATTGTTGAACATCCTAATTTTGCCAGTGTTGTAGTCACAATAGACAAGGTGAAATAAAGAACTGGAACTATTATTGGAATGGGTAGTGCTTATGCAAATGTAGGTTTTGACAATATATTTGAAAGAAGTAATGATGGTAGAGTAGTTGAAACTTATTATTAAGGATGCAAAATAATATCATATATTGAGAAATAAGAATTACCAGAGTATAAATAATATAAAACTAATCGAATTCATTTGATGTACACTTAAGATGGGAGTGTTGCTAAAGTAGTTGATGATGGAGAAATTGTTATTGTAACTGCTGAAGAGAGAGTAAGACTCAATAATAAAGGAGAGAAGAAACCATTAGGATAAGATTTAGATTATTGGTTATAATTATTTTCTGTATCAGATGAACGTAAAGCTGGAGTTTATACAATTGATTTAACTAGAAAATGTATTTTTACAAAAGATGAAGAATCTAATTATTTCTAAATTGATGAAGATGGAACTGTTACATCTAAGATATCAGTATCCTTAAATCAAGAACCATCTACTCCTGATTATATTCCAGATGGTTTATTTGTAGATGAAGAAAATAAAGTACTTCCACCACCAAAATCATGGGTTCCTCCAAGATTATTTTTAGTTAAAAATGATAATACTGGTATTGAATTATTTAATCAAACTCAATTATAAGATTACTTTAGACTTAAATCAGAAAATCCTTTCTGTACTAAATTAATTGATGAATTACCAAATAATGTCAAATCTATTTCATTTCTAACTGAATTAAAGAATTAATCTTAAAAGTTCATTGAAGTCAAAATACCTTAAACATTAGATATTGTACCAAAAACTGTTTAAAAAACTACAATAATTCCTCATAAAGTCTTTACTTATCGAAATTTCTTAGAATATCTTCCATTTGATAAAGAATAAAGAGCTCTTCATGAGTAATCATTATAAAAATATGAAGTTTGGTAAAAAGCAATGTAAAAAGCATAAAATGAATTTGGAGTTATACAAAAATCAGAAGATGAAAGAGATGCTGAATTTATTATTTAAATGAAAATCTTGGAAAGTAGAAGAACTGATTATTCATATGAATCCTATGATTAAGCCAAAAGTAAAATTACTTTACCAGATACAACATCCAATATTGTTGAACCTTTAGAATAAACTCTTGTTAGAACTGCTAAAGTATAATAAGTTGTCTAATAAGCCTTTGTTGATTTACATAGAAAAGTACAAACTATTTAACTCTAAAAATCAATTAAACCATCTGTTGAAGCTTAAGGTTTTGTATAAAATTACTTTGATACAAAAGAAGGACATGAATATTTAAAAACAGCTCCTGAAAATCCTCCAATAAAAAAACCAAGAGAAAGAATAGTATAACCTACAGAAGAATAATAATAATAAATACACAATTAATAAGAAGTTTAAAAGACAATACAAGATGGAATCATTCCATTAGAATAACCTTAATTACCTTCCCCATAATATAATGATACAAATAATCTTACAAAAGTGATTATTAAACCTTCTGTATTTACACAAGCAGAGATAGATGATGAAGTTAAATAAAGAAAATAACTTGATGAATCAATCAGATATAGATAAGTAAAAAAGAAAGATTTTGATGTCTATGGAAAAGATAGAAAAGATATTAAATTAGTACCTTGTCTTCTTAAAACTAATCCAAAATCTGAATTGAATTAAAAATACATTCTAACAGATGCTAGTACAGATAATAGAATTAAAATAAGTTCTATGGCTACTAGAGTTTATTAATAAGCTGCTCCTATTAGTCAACTTAGAAATGAAGGCATGCATCAAACTATAATAAGAACATTAGATAAGAAAAATAATTTAGATGATCTTATAGACAAAAAGAATCTTATGGTTACTGGTGATATCAATGATAGATTAAAGAAGGATTTGTTAATATATCCTATAAATGTTTAATTTGGAGAACTTAAATAAGCAGGATAATATGAATTCAAGATCTCTGTTAAAAATGAGGATATTATGGCATAACGTATAATTTTAAAGTAACCATTGAATACTAACATCAAAGTATTCATGAAATAAATGGGCTCAGTATTTTATTATATATATATGTTATTTAGATATCTCTAGGTTTAGTCAGAGAAGTATTTGTTCATATAAATGCAGAAAGAGTTGGATAATTTTCTGATGAAGTCTAAATCATGTCAAAACATTCCATTTATACTATACCAATTACTGGAAATGTACTTGAGTAGAACATGTTTGATAAACTTAATTCAGAATAGATTAAACTCACTAATAAACCTCTTTTAAGGAAGTATGTTAGAGATTTGAGAGCTGTATTATATTAATAATTATTATTTACAGTCTAAACAATAAGATATTATTGGAGATAGTTAGGATTCTGATCTTTTACCTAAGATAAATTATGATAAGAATATCAAAATTGATGCTTTTTAAAATCATAAGAAGGATGAATAATCATATGAGGAAGAAAATTGATTATTAAAATTTATAATATATATATTAGTAGATTTATGAATATTCCCATATAATAGTTATTTTAATTAAATCATACTTTAATTTTCTTAATATTTTTCCGTAGTATTTATTACATGGATTTTGTCTTTTCTAAAAAGTTTTTGACTCTTTCATCTTCTTTAAATTTATTGGAACGTTTAAGATTTTCAGCAAAACTCATTGAATCTATTTTAACATTATCTTTAAGACATTAACATGTTTTTGCTTCCAACAGTAAAGGTAACCAATTAAGTGTGGCTAAATTGACAGCTTCAGCAATATTGAATCCACAATTAAAACCTTAATGATAGGCTCCAGCAAAAATAAACATAAATTCACCTTAATGATGAGCCATTTTTGATATTCTTATTTCAGGAATTTTCTCTTTAAGTAAATATGGATTAATAACTGTTGTTTTATGTCTTAAATATTCTGAACATTTATTAAAGTGATCTCCATATAGCTATCTAGCATATTTTTCAATAAGATGACTATCAGCTTCAGGTATGGAATACCAGAATCTAATAATATTTATATTTAAATATTTACTTGTCTTTGCCTACATGAAGATAATTTACACTACAAAGATCTAGATCTTCTTTATGCCAAGCAAAGAATGTCTTCCATGAACCAACATATATATATGGTTCATTAACTCCTGGGATACGGTTCTTTAGTCCAAAATTGAGTAAACTTGTAATCTGATTAAGGTTCCAAGAATTGTTAACATCCATTAGACTTAGTTTAATATCGGCTCCATAAAGAGGAGGACTAAAGGCTAAACTTTTCCAATAAAGCTTTTCAAGTTAGTCTGAATTTAGTTTTTCATGTTGTTTATCTATTTCTGTTTGTTTAGCTCTATAATCTTTGAGGGGCATTGATTTTTTTAAGATGTGTAAACATTCATAGTTGCCACCTTTACCATAAACATTCTGCTCAATAGGACCCTAAATAATAAGATTGTCAAGAGATTTATTGTAATCTTGCTAGCGAATTCGGAAGTTCTTGGGGGGAATGATCTATGAATTAATTTAAAAATATAATTTACTTTCACCATCCCGTAGTTCGTTGAATATTATTTATCTATTTTCTCAATGTAATCATAGAAGTTTTCGAACTCTTAAGGTGTTGGGCGTAATACAGGACACTCCTCAATGGTTGTCATGTTTTAAATAATACTTAAATATCTTGGAATCAAACACGCCCTTTGATACCCCGGTATGACAATATATATGTATATATTAAAAGGAAAGAGAATGTAAGAAACTTTAAAGATAGACAGATAGATAAATTCTGGAGTGAGATTTAGTCGAGTATGTCCACTTAATTACCTGTTGTGTTATGGTCATTTGCATCTGCTCCCCTACAGCACTTTAATTAATTGATAAATTAGAATCATTTTTCCGTATCTTCTATAATGTGTTCTAGGCCTTTTTATGCTTTTCTATTCTGATTATTGAGAGAACTCTTAATCTTGTAGGCAACATCAATATGGAAATACTAAACCACCATCTAGATCAAATCGTTTAAATGAGTAAACCTTATAAAATTAGCAGTACTAGATTCTTCCATTTACTTATATTATAAAAACTCATACTTATTAATGATGCATAATTGTGTTTCATAATCATAAACTTTTATGTTGCTTTATATTTTGAATTAGACTCTTCAAACTTTATTATATTTATTTCAGCTAATCAATTGATGTGTTTATAACTTCTTGATCATGAATATGCTAAACTATTTCAAATTTCATTTCTATTCTTAATTTGATTCAAAAATTATCCTCCTTAATGGAGAATCTTTACTTTCCATCTCATCTAAAATATTTATGTTTAAATTCCAACACACTATTATTGTTTGTCTTCTTGAATTCATATATGTTCAATTTTCTATCTTCTATTATGATATTATACCTTAAAAAACTGTCTAAATTCTTATGTCTTAAATATTCTGGAAACAAGTACTATTAAAATTTCTCCAAATTGCCAATACAATAATTTGCCCACTTCCATAAAATCTTAGTATCTCCTATTCTTAATTCCTTTTTAAGATTTTATGAAGCTTTATCAAAATACAAGAATTGAATGTCTATTTTCCATTAATTATTATGAATTATACAGCATTATTTCAAATCAAGAAATTATTAACTGGTGAAAACAGATTTTGTAATGAAAGCATCCACTCAAACTCCTAAGCAAGCTTACTATAATGTCTATATCTATGGTACATTTGTTTGCAATTTCACAGAGTAATGAGAACTCATATTTCATTAATAGATATAATCAAATCTATTCATAGACTGACATCCATTAACCAATATTCATTTAGATGGTAATGATGAGTTGGTACTTATCAATAAATATCATTTAATACTTATTTTCTAACATTCATTAATGGAAAACATTTTATGCACAAGTTTTCAGGCGAATAATAAGATATTTCAAAATATTTTTCAGCCTTTTATAATCAAAAACTATAATTTATCATTTACAATTATTTTGAAGAGCCTCTTTATTGGACTACTCAAAAACATTGTATAACTCATACAATGTTCTCTTTTTTTAATAATTTTTAGTTTTGGATTACCTAAAAAACCAATACAAAATGAGATATTTCTATTGATTATCTAAAATACTCAGAATGATTTCTTAAACCAATCATAATTATATAGAACCTTTAAAAATTTGAATTTTCTATATAATCAACAAAACTTATTAAGAAATAATTTTCAATTACAATCTAAATTAATAGATTTTACATCCAATTTGCTTGATTTGTTGTTATACAATTATTTAAATCTAAATATATTATGGAAATCTACTTTAGTATTAGTAATTTCTTCTGAATCAGGTTTTTCATCGACTTAAGAATTATAGAATTCTATAATATTATTAGTAATCACAAATATTTATAACGTAATTGATCTTAACAAATTAAGTTATTATTATTTTTATTCTAAATCTAATTAATGGTTTAAAATGATTCTGAAGCTACAAAGTAATCCAGTGAATTATAAACAGGATCCAAGAAAATCACCAAACAATAAGGTCACTGGAATCAGATAGAACATAATACCTATCTCAAATTTTTATAGGAAAATGCCAATCACACTAAAGGCTAAAGATTATTCAAGAAAATGAGTTTAGTTGTTGGCACTCGTACACCAAGTCAATGCAGGTAAGAACCCATAATATAAGATCGCATCACTAAAAATTTAATCCATAAAAGACCAAATCTTCTTCTAAGAATACAAGATTATTATGGAGATCCAAACAATATGCCAGAAGCTACTTTGCTTTACACAAATAATCTGATGAATCTAGTAATTGATGTGAATTTTGTATATATCCTCAAATATTGTTAATTTTATTTAAAGATAGTATCATAGCTAATAAAAATCTAAATCATTTATTAGATTCAAATCAATTTTCCCTCTTTCTCTTGTTATATCCTTTCTTTTTATGATTCATTACACATAATTTTTTAAAAATACTACAGTAATTTTAACTTGCCGCATTTATTGTCTTTTAAACTTACCTTTCTTTTAATTATTTAATTATAATTATTGTATGTTCTAATAAAATTTCCAACATTCATATTCATTTGAATTTAAATCTTTGAAATCTTCTTGTATTTAATATTGATATATAATTTCAATTTTAATTTATATTTTTATTCTAAAAATTCTACTTAATAATATCATATATAATAAAAATATACTTCAACAATCATTATATAAATATTATATATATTCTTTTTATTATTATTAATCTCTTTAGGTTAAAAATAGAAATTAAAATTTTAACTTTAATGATATTAATTAGATTTAAATCAAAATTAAATAATATCATAAATGAATTTTTCATTAAATTTAAACTTTATTTCCTTAAAACTAATTCAATATAAGATTTAAATTATTAAAAATTTTTTTTATGATTTATTTTTAACATATATTTTTATATATCTACAAATAATGATTTTTTTTTGTAATTTTAAATTTCATAGGCAAGATCTAAACAAGAAAGTAATGATAAAAATGATTTATTAAAAGTAAAACTAAATAGCATTATGTAAATTGAAATGCAAATATGAATTGTTAAATTAGAATTAAAAAGTTACCTAAAATTTAAATTATTAATATTGAACATAAAAATTTGATTTAATTTATTATTAGAAATATTTATATTAAATAAATAATTTCAAGTGAATTATTTATATATATTTTAATATTATAAATAAATTCTTTAAAATTCTAAATTAACATATTAAAATTTATATACCTTGAAAACAAAGATTAATATTTATGAATTTAGTATTATAATTAATGATTTAAGATGTTTAATTGATTATCAATTATATAAAATTAATCATTGATTGCTACTTTATTTAAGAATAATAATGTAATACATTAAGAACATTTTAATAATAAACAATAATGATATTAAGATTTGAATATTTTTTAATTGAGTAATAGGAACTTTAGATAAGACACTTAGATTGTTAGTATTATGAGTAATAGTGTTATTGATAAAAATTATTTTATATTAATATACTTTTTGTAAGAGATTAAAAATGCGAAAACAGCCTCTGAAATTATTATTAGAGGATAATGATCTCGAGATTATTAAGGCAAAGACATTTGATTCACATTCTCAACGTAATGGTACTAGTTTTTATTCAAACATATCGGATGAACATGAATAATTTAGTGATGGAAAACGATATCAATGTGATTCATCGTACTCTTCAAGTAGTCTTCATAGTTCTAGAACACTTGCAGATGAATCATTATTGTAAAATTATTAAAAGCGTCTAGGTAAATAAAATATATATGAAAAGATCCTGAAATCCTATCAGAACAGGCTAGATTTGTATTCCTTATAGGAAATTAATCTACAGAAGAATGGCTTGCAAATTTTAATGAGAAATGTTTGAGAGTGAATAGCTTTTTCAAAGAATCCCTTTTCAATTCCTTAGTAGAAACTGCTTTTAATGGTGATGATTAGAAGATGAAAAGAAAATTAGTTCTTACTTTAGATTATTTTACTAATCTAATCACATTTACTTTCTTTCTTCTTTGGAAATGGATTTAAAATGAAAATCAACAAGACATGTCATAATTTGTTTAGAATTCTAATTCCATTACTGAATTCATTGTATTAATGATAACTTTAAGAATTAATGAATTTAGGATGGAATGGCAACTTATTACAATGATTGAACAAATTGTGTAACCATTTCCTGAAAAATAAATTTTCAAGGAATGTTCAGAAACATAGAGATCCTACTTATCAGTAGGGTTATTTTAACCTAAAATTACTTCTATTCGTGTTAAACCAAATTCAGTATTGCCATGGACAACTGATGAAGTAGCTTTTGTATTAAGTTTTATGAGTTAATCCTTTTATGCAGGATTATAAATAAAAAATGTGATTGTTAAAGGTGGATTAAATAACGTATAAATTAAATATCTAAATATAGTATTTTAGAAGAATCAATACAATATCTTAATTTATCATATATTCAGTAGTAAGAAGTCCAAATAAACACGATCGTTAAGATGCATTGAGATATTGGATAGAATTAGCAGAGAAATTATAAAAAAATTATGATTTAGAAGGATTATTTATTGTATACAAATATGGCATTCAATTACTATTAAAGGATTATATAGGAACTATGCCAATATTATTCAGAGATTAAAGTAGAATACCTCGTATTAATGCTTTTTATGAAGAACATATAAAATCAAATTTTAATGAAATTTAAAAAAATGAATAGCTATTTTACATACCTTCATTTCATAAATTTATTACTTAAATTAAGCGTTTAGAATAGTAAGTAAAAATGAATAACACATTATTTGATTAAATATCAGATATCCTATTGTAATTAGTTTCAATTTCTAAGAGACAATATAAACTTCATTAATAGACAAGTGCAAAAGTATTTAATTATATTATTTTTAGATTTCTGATCATGAAGAATAAATAATTCAATATTTTATTAAAGGAATAGAAAAAGAATTGGAAATTAATTTATAAATTCCTTTAGATAAAGAAACCTTAGTGTACATAGAATTGATTAAATTGGCAAAAATTACTAATTGATATTGAAATGATTATAAAAATGATAAAAATTTGTGAGTTTTAATTTCATAACCATTTTGTCTCATTAAACTATTTATAATTTATGAGATAACAATCACCTAATTTTAATTTATCAAAGAGCAAATTCTACCTACCAAAATGATTCTATGGCGATTAATCATATTCAGAAATTTGTAGGCTGCTTCTAAAATTGATAAAATGAAAATCAATGTATAAGAATAATAATAAAATGTTACAAAAAAACATAATGCTGTACGATATCAAATAGATCTAATAGATAAATTCTAATAAATTTATTCAAAAATTATAATAAAAATGAAGTTGAAAAAAGAGAAAACCTAGTAATTAAATTTAGAAAGAGATGCAAAAATTAATTAGGTTTTTTACATGAACCAAATAGATATTTAAGATTGGATGATAAAAATTCATAAATATCTACTAAACCTATATTTTCAGGAGCAAAGAAACCTGCAACTCCTATAATAGACATTCTATCTCTACAAACTTGATAAAGGATTAATAAGAAATCATTCTTCTTAATATAAGATTGAAATTATCAAGAAGAATAATTTGATGAAACAGTTGTAAATATATAAATTCATAAATATAACAAAGAGCAAAAGAATAAAAGTTAAAATAAAATAGATAAACGATATAATTTCAAATTAAAATCAAAAATAATGAATAACAAAATCTCATTAGAATAATAATTAGTAAAAAAAAATAATGTATTCGAATGAAAATAACATGAATTAATTTTGTATATTTATTATTCAAATTATATATATATATAATAGAATTTCAGCTAGCAAATGATAGAGACTTAGAATCCTAATCAAAGCTCATACTATTTTAATTATGATCCTTCAATTTTCTGTTTGTTAAATATCTAATTTCTAAACTTGGTAAACGAACTCTCTCAACGCTATTTAAACTAAATTTCGGTTTCATATAAATTTATTAGTTTTTATAATAATCTTGAATTGAGTTTAATAATTGATCTAAATTTATAAACTTTTCATCTTTGTTTTCATGTAATAGAGATTTTAAAAATAACGAAAATTTTGACTAATTCAAGTTTATATAAGTTTTAACAGATTTATAAAGATTTATTTCTTATCTAGGAAGTTCTATATACTTTGGGTTTATTTTAGTAATTTTATATTATCTAAGAAGTTCTGTTTAAGCTTAAAATTCTTCATCAAGTTCAGAATACTTAATTTGTAAACTTGCTAAATTTTTTCTTAGTTTCATTATTTTAACCATCATTGATTCATATTAGAATTTGATAGTTTCTAATTCTTTAGTTAGGTTTTAGAACTCCTCAGAACTTAGAATATTATATGATTAAACATTTCAACACTTTCTTGTTTAATAATTATTTTTTCAGCAGTGCTTAACTATAAAGGAGTCTTCTTTTTCTCTTATAATATCTGATCAAGTGATTTTATACAAAATTATAAACTAGAATAGAGTTGTTAAATCTTTGGATCTTCGTTTAGCATTTTTATATATAATTTTTATAATATAATGAAACAAATTATATGTTTATATAAAAATGTAAGGGTATTATCAAAACTAATTTTATTTTATTGCTGGATTCTTTTCTTTCAAAATGAGGTCTAAGATATCATCATAAACTTTTATAAATTATTCATCAAGTTTTGGTACAGTTGTTGATTTTTTTAAAGATTATTCTTGTGTTTCAAATTTATTTGTTATTGATCTTGGTATAACTTTAATTAATGGTTTGCCTTTAACTTCTCTATTTCTGAATTTTGATAAAATAACATCTTCCAAATAATTTTTTAGATAACTTCCAACTGTAATATAAATTAATTTTATGAGATATTATTTCTATTTAACCTCTTTAATTGCTTTATGTAATTAATTATACTCTGTTTTACCATCACTTACAAGACATAAATGAATGCATTTATTTTTAAGATCATAAGCAGCTTATTGAGTTTCTAATAGTTTAAATAGAGTATCAAATGATTATCCATTATTTTCCAAAAATGAGAATTAACCATTTTTCCAACAGATTGCTATTCTCTAATTTTAAGGCAATCTAGAAAATATTTTTAAATAATTGGATTTAGCAGATTAACTTTCATTTATCATACTATCATTATCATCAAATATAATAATAACAATTTTTTCTAGTTCATCTTCATCATCCCTCAATATTGTTTAAATAGACTTTGGTAAAAAAGAAAATTCATCAGTTTAATCAAAAATGGCACCTGTTTAATTAATATTATTTTCAGATATTGGTTTTGCACGTAATTTAATAAATTATAGTACTTCATTTGCTTTTACTTTATCTTTCTTTTGAATTAATTAATGTATATCTTTAAGGGTATCATTTAATTCTTTTAATATTTATATATGTTTATCTAGTAATTCAGTAACTTATTGCTATTCAAATATTTTCTATAATTATTTATCTAATAACTCCTTAAACTCAACTAATAATTTATTTAAATTAGATTATGGATCATTTTCAATAACTTTTTTATAATTATTCAAACCTTCTATTGTAATTGCCCAAATAGATTCTATTAAATCTAATTCTTTCTTTGTTGTTTTTGATCTTACAAAACATCCAAATATAGTACTATTTAATTATTTTTACATTCTCTTTTTGGCTTTTTCACCTGTTATATCTTTTTATTCAATTTCCTAAGCATTTTTTTCAACAAACTCAATTACCTTATCAAAGTTTCTAATATCTTTTTAAAGATCTGTCATTTCCTTCTCATTTTTCTTTAATTCTAGATTACCATCTGCTATATTAGTTGCTAATAAGATTTATGATGAAGCTATCTTTTTTATATCCTCGTTTAAGTCATTATCAAATTTAGCTTAATCTAATATCTTTTAACCTAAATCAGATATTTTGCTGAATCCTTCTTTATAATTATGCTAAGGATCACTTGCTGTGAGGATGAGTTCCTTTTCTACAGAATTAGTAATTAATTTTGCTATATCACTTGGTTTATCTGTTGGTTTAACAACTTCATCTTCTATTACTATTGGCTCTGCTTTTTCATCAACCCTTCTAAAAAAAGGTTCATTTGGTGCTACATTTTTTGTTGGTTATTCTTATACCAATGTTTAATAAACAGGTTAATTTACTTCAAAATGTTTCTCTTAAACATTTAATAAACCCTTAACTTCTGTAAAAATTTTACTAAATTCCTTATACAAGACATCAGAAGATTAACATTTTCTTTCTACTTTAAAGACAGCAGGACAGCTTTCATTTTAATTGTGAATTTTGTCTCTTAATTGATTGCTAATCTAACCAGGAAAAGCATCACCTACAGCAACACATATGAATTAAATTAAATATTTTGTTTTCATTTCTTCAATTTTTGCTGATATTTCATCCATATCAAAATGCTCTCTTCCATCACTTACAAATAAAAAAGTAATATTTTTAGGGTAGGCTTCATTCAATAATTTTTGAAAGATAACATTAAATGTTTTTGAAATATTTCCACTTCCTGCACATCTAAAAGGAAGGAAAGAATATAAATCCTGTTCCCATTGATAATCCATCTTTTTATTGCCTAAATCTGAAAAGACATCCTAATGTGCTTTGATTGCTGGTTCATATTCATTGCCCATTGAGCCTGTTCCATCAACCAAGGTAATCAAATATGATTAAACTGCTTTACCTTGTTTTGCCATGTAAACTTCTATGGCTTCCTATTGATTCATTATTAAAATTATATATGAAACAAAGAATCAAGACTTGCATTAAAATGAAAGCAATTTCTATTAAAAATATATAATTAAAAATTAACTATTTGTTTAAAAAAAACATAGAACATAGTTATTATACACTTATCATCTTTTTTTTTTAACACATCCTTTCTTTAAGTACATCTCAAATTAGTACGATTGTTAATTTCTTGAAGGATTTTTATCAATTCAAATGATGATGAGGATTTAATAAGTAAAATTACATCATGTAATCTATTCCCCTTAAAATCTATAATAAAATAAATAGAAACATTTAAGCCTCCTCTCTCGTTTCACACTTAAGATAGTTAGATAAAATAACAAAAATTTGATGTGAACATTGTAATTCTGATTCTATAAAATATTATTAAAATTTTTAGTTTAATTATTACATTATTAATTTTTAATAATTAAAATTTTATATGAATATAATAATCCTTTTAAAAGTATTATTTTTTTATATAATAATCAACAAAGTGAAATATAAAAATATCTTAATATTGATGAATGTAAATATAAAATTCACTCTTTCAAAGTTTATTATCTCATTTTTTCCATCAATTTTTTAACAGCATCTGCTTACATAGATACTCCAGAATTGATTAACATCTTTGGAATGCTACCTTTTGGGTCAACATTAGCAATGATAATAACCTAACATGTTCCTGGAGTTATTTCTTTAATCAAAAATGCTGAAATAATAATTTCACAACGAGTAAAATTCTTCTTATTAGGAACAGAATCTAATTAGACAGATTTAGCTAGAATTTATATATTAATTTTACAAACTACTATATGAGTTCCATCTTTCAGTATAGTTCTTCTAGTAAGAGCTACCATGTCTCTTGGATCGACTAAGACAATAGGAGATTTACCAGCTCCATAATAAATAACATTATTTTAATCTATTTTTTCTACAATTTTGCCCTAAAATGATCAATTTATTTACTTCCAAGAAATTCTCATCAAATTCAGATCTCCTAGTCATATCAAATATAACATCCATTGCTTTCTTTGGATCTACATTTAATTTTAGTTCAGTTCTTGTCATCTTGAGACCAACTTAATTTAATTTAGAATAAATGATGCAATCATTTTTATCATGTTCTTTAGTCCATTAACCTTCCTATGGTTATTAATATGCCATTTGAATAGCTTACTCTTAGATTTCTATAGAGTTAATTAGAATAATAGATTACAATCTAATTAGGTAAGGTAGCTGTTTTACATTAAACTTTAATAAAATAAAAAAATGCATTTCTCATAATCTTAAATATATAATTTTTTAGTATCAATTTCTATATTGTTCATATAAATAATCAGAAAATAGGATTCATTATTTAATAACACACAAATAAAGAAGTGTTATGAATACACAAGTTGAAGTTTGTATCTTGAATTGAAATGAGATATTAATATGAGATGTTATTATTCTCTTTATGATTTGTCATCTATTTTTACAATAGTTTTAATGAGGAAGAATAAGTAATTATTCGAATTAATTTACAGAGTACTCTATCAAATCCAATAAGGGAATACTATTTAAATGAATATGAAATGGATAATTAATACAATCCATACACTTATATTTAGATGAATGAGATAAAACAATGTTAATTGAGTAGATAAATATAACTAATGATATGTTATTAAGAGTTGGGTGATAATGAAACAAATTTGATATACTTAGGTAGATTATAAAGCTGTAATTTGTATAAAATTAGGATATTTTCAAGTGAATTTTTAATAGTTACTATAAATTTGTATATAACTCAATTTTCATGGTATATTGTAAGTAAAGAGAAAGATGAAATTGAGAAATAGCATGTTTATAAAATACTAAGAAATCGAATAAAAAGATTGTATTATTATAAGTGATATAAATAGATTACAAATGATTGATTAATATTAACTTTATATAATTTATTTAAAAATATTTTTATTGTAAAGATTCTTCATATGTTTATGTATTTAGTAAATATAATGTGAATACATAAAATAAAATAATTAATGGAAGCAAAGAAGATCATAGGTTTAGGAAGTCCATTGTTAGATATTTAGGCTGAAGTTCCAGCTGAATTCCTTGAGAAGTATGGTTTGACACTCAATAATACTTATTTTGCAGAAGAAAAACATTTACCACTCTATGAAGAATTGATTAATATTCCAACTCACTCTCATGTTCCAGGAGGTATAGATAAAAATTATTCAAAGGATCTGCACTTAATACTATAAGATTGGCTAGATGGATGGCTTAAGCAGGTTAAGATCAAGTGAAATTTATTGGTTGTGTTGGAAAGAAAGATAAATTTGCAAATATGTTAATTGAGGTGACAAATTAAGATGGAGTGACAACATTATTTGATGAATAAGATTAACCTACAGGTAAATGTGGAGTATTATTATGTAATAAGGATAGGTAATTATATATTTTATATTTAGATGTTTGGTTCCATTGATTGGTGCTGCAGCTCATTTATCTGAGGATTACGTTAATAAACATATTGAAGATATTAAAACTGCTACTGTATTATTTAGTGAAGTTTATTTCTTATATCCAAGAGCTGAACTTACAAAAAATATTTATAAAATTGCTTCAGAAAGTGGAGTTAACACTTGTTTGACTCTTTCAAGTGTAAATGCAGTTAGTGATAAATTTAATGATATTTTGGCTGTTCTTCCATATGTTGATTATTTATTTGGTAATGAAGAAGAGGTTGAGTAATTTGCTAAGAATTTGAAATTGGAAGGAGATCTATAATAGGTTATGTAATAAATAGCTGCATATGAAAAACTTGGACAAAGAGAAAGAGTGGTTGTATGTACATAAGGTAAGAAACCAACATTGATAGCTAAAAAAAATGAAGTTATAACAGTTGAAGTTTAATTAGTTGATGTTTCTAAGATTGTTGATACAAATAGTGCAGGTGATTCTTTTTGTGGAGGGTAATTAATTAATTTTATATATTAATTAGATTTATTGCTGAATTGTTGAATGGTCCAGATCTTGTTAAATGTGCTAAAGCTGGTAATTATTCAGCATCATAAACTATATAACATGAGGGAAGCACAATTCCAAAATATGCCCCAGAAAAAACATGGTGAAAAGATATTATTTATTACATAAATAATAAATACAAAATATTTTCATGAGTTTGAGTTAATAATTAAAGGAAGAAGAAGAAGAAGAAGCAGTTATCTAACCTATTCAACCTGTTTCTATTGTCCCTATACGTAGGAAAAATAAAAAAAGATAAATTGTGAATCCTTCTTAAAACACTGGACATTGGAGTCAATAAGAACACTAAACATACTTAGACTTTCTACAATTACACAAAGAAATTATGGAATCACAAGATTAAAAGAAAAGCAATAAAATCTTCAAATAAATGAGTGAAATCATTGGAAGTCGCAGTCCTTCATAATGTAGGTATCATAAATTCAATTTATCAAATTAGATCACATCATTAAAAATTCAATCCATTCATTCATTAAGTCAAGAAAAGATAAAAAGGTGCAGGAAGAAAAAAGAAAGATAGCCAAACTACATAACCAATCTAACATTTCTATCCATTTTATTAATAACCCATCATTTCTCAACATCAATTAGACTTTCCATTATTCCAAACAACCTACCCTGATGAAATAATCTATCCACAACCTATTGCATCAGACAGAAGTCTTCTATACAACTTTGGTTTCCTTCCTTAATTTCCTATTAACCTGAACTATTATACTGATTTGTTTGTCAATTAGACCCTGTACTAAAATGAAAAAGAGAATTAATTTGAAGATTAGTGATATTATTCATAATTCAAGTTTACTAAATACTATGATTATATCATCCTAGTCCTTTAGACTTGTTTTTTTAGTCAAATTAAAAAAAATCGAATGGTTTTTATTCTCTCTATATACATAATATTATAAATTAAATGGAAGTATGTTGTTGATCCTTCTTTTTTACTTCATATATTTTATCTTATTTTTTATTTAATTCTTTTGGTGTCTTATATTAGACTTCTCTATATTTTAATTTCATTTATACATATGTTGATCAAAGCTATTAATTCTTCAGAATAAGAAGTTGGTCGTAATGTTAAAAGGTAAATTTTATAATAATCTCTACTTTAGTTCGAAAAAGAAGTATATTTGGAAATTCTCAATTGATAATGTAGATCAAGAAATTGTACTTTTAATTTCTTCTCTTTCCGGCAAAAAAGAAGTTAGATACAACGGAAGACCGATTCATTAAGAATCTAGGTAATGCTCTTTCCATATCATTTATTTTCAGTCTTTTTTGTGATTTCAGATACCTATATAAAATTTAAAATTGTCTTGTCACAATTGCACCTAGATATGAATCATATCAACTTTATTTGAACAATATTCCTTTTGCTGAATATTTCAATACTCGTAATATAAATTAAACAGAGAATCCAAAAAATTGTACTCTAAACAATGATGATCATGATGAGTATGATTTAAGTCCTTTAAAAGATGTTGAACCACAAAAAACAAATTTTTAATAGCCATTGTAGAAATTTAAAGTAACTGTTCCTAATCATCAAACTAATTATATTTAAAACAAAACAGAAAGTAAATAATAAGAAATATTGTGGAAATAAGGATTTAATAAAGACTTTGCTAATTTTGGAACTACTTCAACTAATGGTACAGACAATTAATTTGGTAACTTTGGTTTCACATTTGATACTCCATAAAAAGAACCTAAAAATACAATTACATCATAATAAAATAATCAAAAGTAAATTGAAAAACCAAATCCTTTCTTTGAATTTGGTTAGAATTCATGGTCAGCTTAATCAAAAAATACTCTTAATTAACAACCCTTTTAGTCTTAATAGACAAAATAATATCATTCAGATATAAAACCTCAAATTAATACAGAATAACAATTTAATAATATGAATATGTCTTAAACAATAAATTAATCAAATCAAAATTAATAATTTAATTAATACAATTTAAGTAATCAATAATAATAATAATAATAATAATAATAATCATAATAATAATAATAATAATAATTAGTCTACTCTTAAACTATCAATCCATAAAAATAATAAATATTATCATAAGGTAATATATTAGATTTTTTTGAATCTAATTAACATTAAAAAAATAACATTAATTTTTAACTTTAATAATAATAACTCAATAAGAGCCATTCTTAATCATTTATTATGCCTCTTTTCAGTTAATCCTAGATTACATCAATGAATTTTTAAAATTAATAAAATTCAATTCAATAAAATGCATTTTAAAATTTATAAAATAATTAATTCTAATCCTATTATAATAATTAGACATAATTTTAATACCCAATCTATAGAACATCACAATCATTAACACCTTTAACATCATCATATCAAGAAACAAAAAAACAGATGCCAAAAGAATTAGAAGACATATTTGATCAACCTATGTAAAATACTTAGCCTCCATTATAAAAAAGATCAACACCTTTCGATGATGATCTATTTACATGAATTATAAGATTAAAACTTAATATGTTATAATTTATTTTTTTAAAACTCATGTAATTTAAATTTATATCAACCAAATCCATATCCTTCTAAACCAATAGTAAAAGCAATATCTAATTTTTATTTCATTTGTCCATAATTTGCATATAATGGAACTTCAATAGATTTAAAGCATGTATGAGCTAAAGGCAATTTTCTTATATCTAAATTATTCTTGAATTCAACTGATATTATATAAGAACTTTAATCAAATGGAATAGCAGAGGAACCTAAAAATAAGATTGATAAAAATAATACCAGTAATGAATTTTAACATGTTCTTTAATGTTTATGAATCTGCTTGATTAACATAAGTTTCAAAGTAAGATTTGTGACTTGCTTTACCTCCAGAATATGATATTTTTTATAACACTACATCTGGCTTAATTTCTAGTAATCCTTAAGTTAACAATGATATCTCAGAAGGTTTCAACCACTTTTGGAAAATCTTAAACCAATTTGAATGTAAAATACCTTTAAATCAACAACAGTTGTAAAGCCTTCAATAAATGATTTATATATTTCTTGGAATTATTTGTAAATAATGTATTCTGCAGTTTTGTCTAAATACTAATGTACATTATGTTATGTAACTGGCATAGCAGATCCATTAGGAATTAATTCAATAGTAGAATTGCCTAATTAATAAGTGAAATCTAAATAGAGAGATTCAATAGTTTCAGGATTCATTTCTCTTAGATTAGCATAATTGGAGTATGTCTATTTATCCCATATTAAGATAAGATCTTCAAAAACTATCTTTTCATCATAGACAACCTTCCAAAATGGACTTATTATATCAATACCAATTAAATAGCCATTGGCAATTGAATTAGCAATTAACTATAGATTTATAAATGAATAATACCTTTCCAAATAATAAAGCATATTCTTTTTTATTTTTTATTTTGTTAAAACTACTATGTAGAAAATATTTTCCAAGATTACCTTGAACAGGCTAGAAGAATTTATATGTATCATCTTTTAGAGTATTACCTATCATATCATAAAATTCTCTTTTAAGTCCTCCAGCATCAATACCAGGTTCATCTTAAAACTTAATACTAAAATTATAATTCATTTTTTTATCTGCTAAATCTAATAAATCTTTTAAGAAATTCAATCTTCTAATTACTAATGAATATTCAGTTCTTTTGAAACTTTTTTCTAATTCAGCTTCAAATTTCTTTCTTCTTTTTTCTAAACATACTCCTGAAATCTTAATTGGTTTTACTTTAAAAATAAAATTATATAATCATACCTTTTTTAATTTCCTTATTTATTAAAATCAATATTTCAGTTTATAGTTCATTTGCCTCTACATTATCAGGAACAAAATGAGCTTTTGCATTAATGGATCCACTTTTAGTTAAGTTTTAGAAATTAACTTACAAGGTAACACCTTTATGACAAACTATTTCACATTTACAATCCAAATAAATATCATATTCAATATCACCATATATATTTGAATATGAATCCCTTAATTAAAATGTAAATGGAATATCTTCATAAAATGGTATTGTTTGTAATTCTTAAGGAATTTCTATTTCACTTTCTTATAGACTAGGTGTATTAGCCAATATAATAAATCTACCTTTAATTCTAACATCATCAATATACAGTTTATAGACTCCTTTGAAAATTGGAGTCCAAATTAAATTTAATCCATAATCTTTATGTTCTTATTAAGGAACATATTGAATCTAATTAAATAATGAATGCACAAAAACTAAAGAAGAATATGAAAAATTATTGATTCGATTTCCTAAATTATCTTTAAACTCTAGATAATCTATTCTTTCTTCTCCAGCTCTAGATGCTGCTTGAAGTTCTTATTTACTTAACATATTAATTGTATTGCTAAGTTGTAAATCTTTAGAATGTATTATTGGTTCACATTATTTATGGAACAGTATTTCATCCATTTTTTAATTTGATTTTTTTAATAAAATTTTCATCATTTTGGCATCTCCTATACCAAAAGGTACTTATTCTTCTTATTCAACTTCAATTACTTTCTCAACTCCTTTGATTATTACTTTTCCATGAGTAGTTTTACTCAAATCTTATGTGTTTTATGTAGTGTACTCGAATGTTAATTAATTTACTATTTCTTTTTAGATCATAGATATTTTAAGTGGTTATGAGACACTTAATTTCATTGTTAATATTTTATCACTAAAAAATTCGACCAATAATGATTTATTAGTTATAAATTTATAAGAAACTTATAATTATTCTTTCTTTTTTTCCTTCTTAATTAAATTCATAAGATTGGTTCTTTCTTTAGTTTATTAAACATCTATTTTGGCTAATTATGGTTCTAATGGTTTATTAGATTCTAAATCTAATATTAATAAAAATAAAGAATTGCTAATATTTTATTCATATGATGTTTATTTGAAATAACCACTTAATAGTTTATAAGTACAACATTTAACTGCTTAAAATTTCTAATAAATTCCATCTATTTTAAATATTAAGTAGAGTTAATCAAATTAATTAGGATCTATTACATCTAAATTTAATAATTTTCCTTTATTTATATTATAGATTAATAATTCAATATTTTGATTATCTTCAATACCACTTAATAATTTTCTAGGATTTAATTCTAATCTTTCTTATATAATTTCTGGTCCATCATATTTGATTTTATCATTATATCTATTACTAATATAAAATTATTTATTGTTAAGATAATCTAAGAAGAAATCACAGATATTAAAATCACTGAATGTTTCATAATTAATTATTAAATGAGATCCATCATCAATAAATTAATAGATTGTATTTTTAAATTAAGTTTTAATTTCTTTCTATGATAATATAGAAATATTTAATTTAATATTCTCATCATCTAATTTCAATAATTTAAATAGATATTTTGCCAATAAAATTATATCAACAACTGTTTTAATATTTTCTATTTATATTTCTCCAACTTCAACTATATTTAAATTTTCATCTGTAAAATATGAATTCATTTTATTCAATTAAAATTTCAAAATTAAATTAAATAAAAATTATGCAATTTAACCTGAGTCTGGTACTTAAATATTATCATTTTCATCTATAAGAGTATAACATTTTAATGTTCTATTCTCATATTGAATTAATTATTTTTAATTTTCATAACTTTTTTCAAATATAAATTCAACTTTTTCAATAAATGTTTTAATGAAATTGATTTTTATTGTTAAAATTGATTAAATTTCAAATAGAAACTATAATGAATTATTCATTTTTGGATAAGTGTATCCATCCTTAAATGTTTAATAACCATATTAAAAGGCTTCAAATATAGTTCCACCAACAAGGAAACAATCTAAATAATATTCTGGATTTTAATTCAATTAGTCATCAAAATGTAAGAAAATGTTTGATAATTCAGTATGTTCTTTAAGGAATTTAATAAAATTTTTCTATGCTTATTGAGCTATAATATTAGTTTCAAAATGACATGCCATACTAACAGATGCAATTTCAATTTAATCAAGTTTAAATTTATCTCCATTAATTCTAACAAATACATTTTATCCTTAAACTAAAGATTATTATTTTTTCAACTAATGAATAGCAGCAAAATCAAAATTAATTTAATCTGGAAAAATAGGTGTCAATTAAGTTAGACTTAAATCACTATAAGAAGAAACAAGACCATTTCCAAAGAGATTATCAAGCATCTCTTATTTACTGAATTCATCTTATTCACATTAAATTTGACTCATAAGAGTCAAGAATTTTTATTCATTACATATTGAAATATTACCATCTTAATCAGTGAAAAATACATTTAAGATTGATTAGTTGAAAACAGGATCTGATGGCCAAATTGGTTGAAATAATACTATTGACATTAAGTCTTCAATTTGTACATATCTGAGTTCATTATGTGAATATGTATATCCAGTATATTAAGCTTAATTTCTTGTTATTCTATCATGTGTTAATAGTTCATCATTCATGTGATCTAATTAAGAAAATAAAAAGTGACCAGGTTTAGAATTGTAAACTAATTAACATGCTACTAAATTATTTTTTTGATTTTCACAATAAACTATCATACAAACATCTCCTAATTTACTATTATTTACATAATAATTTTTAGAGATCTAAAATCCAAAATGATATGATAATTTTATATTACTTTTTTAAGTAACATAACATAATCTTTATAATATTTTAGATTTCTATTTTAATTATAATTATCTAGTATTAGATACAATAATATTCATTAATGATTAATTTTATCTTAATGCAGATAATAAACATGATAATCTAATATTAAACATTTCATCAAATCTTTCAGCTTTCAATTATCTTTATAAATAATTATATAAATCTTCTTTAAAATATTTATTTAATTTTAATAAAATATACCAAATTTATTCCATTTCTTTTAATCTACTTTTACTATTCTTATTTTGACTAATTTTATAGATTTCACTTGAAAAAATTGAAGCTAATGATTAATGATCAACAGATAAAGTTATAGTTTTATTAAGTATCTTACTTAATTGATTTGAATATTTTAATAAATGTCTATCAATATCCAATTTATTGAATAAGTATTACACTAATTATTCTGGATTGAATATTTAATTATAGAAATCATATTCATTTATAATACTATGGAAATATTCTTATATCATTGGATCTGGTTTAAATACACTTCTACTACTTTTTTAAATTTAAGTTATTTATAAATCTTATTTAATTATTTATTCTTTTTAATTGCATATCCCTATATTCAATCTAATAATTAATATATGATTATAAAGAAGATAAGTAGTATTTCCAAATTAGAAAATTTTATCTAATCCTTTCTTTTAATCACTCTATACAAATTAAGTCCCTTATTATTCATTAAATTCAACATAAACCCCTCTAATAACTTTTAATACTTGCTATGCTTTTATCAAATTATTATATAGTAATTAATGCAAAATCATGATTAATGTATCCCAACTAAATACTTATTCAATTATTGAATAAATATTAATTATTTTATTTGTAGCTTATTACATTTCAACTAATTTACTTATTATTACTTCTAAAAATGATATTGTATTTATTCTCCATACCAATTTACTCTAATCTTCACTTCTACCCAATAATTATTATACTTTTTCTATAAATCCTACCAATTTTGTAAATATCATTTAAATATTATATGTTGAAAACAATTAATCTTAAAATATAAAATGTTGATTTTTTATATAAAATGGAAATTCTAATCTCCATTCTTATTATTATTTTTATTCTATTAAACTACTTAAATATTCATTATATTTATAAAAATCTTATATAATCATTGAAATTACAGCATTACCATTATAATTAGCAATGAATTCTTCTTCTGTTAATTTTATTAAATTAATTACTACTTATGGTTGAATGAAATGATAAAATTCAGCAAATATTAATTCTTTCTAATTTTTTTATTTCTTTTATTATCTAACTTAATAAGTATTATCAGGTAATAGCTCAAACATAAATTGAAAATCTTCCTTCATTATTTATTATTAATTCATTGTTGATTATCTTTGCATCTAATTACCTTATGATAAACCCATTTGACTCTGACTTTAATGTATTAAAGAAGGAGGTTGTCCTTATGTTTAAAATAATTGCATATCAGTTTATCTAATTTATTCATGTTAATGAGGAGCAAATACATCATCTATTTAATAAATACCTACCTTATCAAATTATTATTCCATTAAATTCTTAAAAAATAAACATTTCTCTAAAATATTCTCCTTTGAATTTATAATGATCTCATTAAAATCAACTGTTGTAATTGAACTAAAATCAAAATTCTTCCAATTCTCTTAAATTTCTTGATATAGTACTAATTCTACATCTATATTCATTTAATAATTTGCTATCTTTAATTATGGAATAGCTTATGCAATAGTCTCTTCAGATAAATAAAATGATTTATCACCATATTATAGAGGAATAGTAAAACCATCTTCTTCATAAGTTATTTACTCTTTTCCAAATACAAGAAATACATTTTTCTTAAAATTATTCATTGTTATAATCTCTTCTTTCAATCTGCCAATAAACCCTTTTATGATTTCATTAATTTATTAAATATACATTATTCCTCTTAAAATTGCTAATTCTCTGGAATCCTCCTTTTCTAAAATTTATTCAAAATAAGAAAAGTCTTTAAATTTATAATCCTTATTTAATTATGACAATATGAATATCTTACTATTTTCAGTAATAAATGGTTTTTGCTATTTGATTTTCAATTTATTTTTTAATAAAATTTAATACATTTCCACAATAACCTTTAATTATTATTACTTTGAAAGCCATCCTTAATATTGATCCTATTAGATACAAAGTAATAAATAAAAGGCATAAAGAATATTCTTTTGCATCTCATTATTTTTACTAAGCATCTCTATTTAATCATCTTCTTCCCTTTCTTATTCTTCATCACACATTTCAGAGTCATTTTCCAAATTTTCTTAATTCAAATCTTATGTTCTTTTATCTTATGATGTATTTTAATCTTCTTATTGAATATCTTATTATTATTGAGTATCTTCTTCTTATTATTAACTTTCATCTTATTATTAAATTTCTTCTTATTATTATTAAATATCTTCTTCTTATTATTAAATTTCTTCTACCTATTATATATTTTTCTCTTCTTCACCTTATAGATTTTCCTCTTCATCTTCTTCACCTTATCGATTTTCCTATTCTTCTTCTACTTATGCAATTTACTGTTCATTTTTGGTATCATTTTAGCTTTTTTCTTATTTTTCAAGTAGTTTCAATTACTTTTTCTTTTTATTTTAAAGATTATATCTCTTTTTTTATTGTAATTTAATTTATTCCATATATTGATTATAATGGAATTCTACATAATTAATCAATTCAGGAGTTTAATACAAAGTTTGATTTACAACAATAACTGATGAAATATTAAGAATCATTGGATTTGTAATTTAAATGAATAATTTAGGATTTATAACAGCAAGTTCATCAAAAATTGGATGTTAATATATTCTATGTTTTTAACATTATTCAAGAATCATTTAATATTCTTCTACTTTCATATTATAAGATCCATCAGGTTATTTATATTGTTATAAGATTTATTGTAGAAGAATAGGATCAAATTAATATTAAGCTATCATACTCCATTTATCTAAAGCCATCTAAATAGATAAAGATTTGTTGTGAAATTAATAAATTTCTTTCAAATTAAATATATAATTGATACAAGCTTATTCATATTATATAAGTTAATTTATTTATTATTCTCTTACATTAATTTATTTTTTATTTTTAATACTAAATACTCCATTTGATAATTAAACTCTCATTTTATCAAATTATTTAAATTTCAATTCAATACAACATAAAGGAAGATATTTTTAGTATAATTCAATAAATTTAGAATAAGGAGTATTATTATTTTAAGGTTTAATTGATTTGAAATAATTAATATCAAAATGTTAGATAAATTTTAAATGTTCTTTATTTATGATATTTGTACAATAATTTAATATAAAATAGTTTTTTCTCATTAATGCTAAACCTAATATATCTTAATTATTATTGCCACCAATAACAATTAATAATTCATCTTTTAATATTTATAAAGCTTTTTATTCTCCATGTATTTAAATCATAAATTATAAATAAATATCTTCAAATAATTTTTATCTTTTCATAAGCATTAAATAATATAAAATAGGTTAATTATCAAATAAAAATATTCTATTTGTTTATTTTACATAATCTTTAATATATTTATTAAAAAATTTTATAACAAGATTATCACTAAAATTTCCTAAAATAATTAATTAAAATAAATTCTATTCATAAACAAGTTTATTTGGTTGTTAATGAAGTTATATTATAAATAAAATAGTTTCCATATTTCCACTTATAAGAGCAAGAATTAAATTTTCATAACTAAATTATGGTTTTTATAAGATATGATTATGTTAACCAAAAACTAAAAATACTTAATCAGGTGTTAATTTTTTTAAATTTGCTCCAACTCCACTTATAAATCTACAATAGAATTACATTCTTTTTTCAAATTTTTTACATGAAACATCATATTAAGAAAGTGGTAATAGATTTACTTCATTTTTTGCATAAAATAAAGTTGCTTTATTAAATTTTATCTCTAATAATCCTTTATATTTCTTTTTCAATATTGGTACTAATTTAATATTCTAATATTTCATAGTCATTATAATATAATCCAAATCATCATTGCTAGGATCATATTTCTGATCTTCACATATAAATTCAGATACAAAGATTTCTTACATTTAAGGTCTTATTTATTTAATGCCATATTTCATATATTTATTAATTGATGTTGAACAATTAACTTTTAATAATTCAATATATTCTTTTGATTTATACTTTAAAAAATTAGGTCCAGTTTTTTTTAATAAAAAATGTTTAATCAAAATTTCAATTAATTATTCTTTTTATTAAACTTATTATTTATTTGGATATCTAAGAGCATACATTAATTCATAAAATGGAGATTTTTAAATCAAAACTTTTTAATTAGCCCATTTTTAAACAAGTTCAAAACATTTCTCATAATTTTATAATTATGAATTCTAACTTGATTAAAATAAACAAGAATAATTTTAATTTTATTTTGAATATGCTTAATTTTATTTATATATTAATTATGCTTCTAATTTATTTATTTATTCAAGTTTTTTTATTGGATGATTAATTACTTTCTTTGATTATTCAAATTATTCTTATGCCTTATTTATTATTTATTATAATGAATTCTTTTATTTTAATTATTTTCTCTCTAAAGTATATGGTTAAATATAACTCAAAAATTAATATCTATCCATTTCATTTAAACTCCGTAATTATGCAGTTATAAAACCTACCTAATTATCTTTTAAAGATTCATTATATGGTTAAACTTTTGCTTCTATTAAAACTGTAGCAATAAATTCACAAAAAGTCTAATTATCTTTTATTTAATCAAATGGACCAATTAATTAATTCAATATTTCAATCTTTTCATGTAAACCTTCTCTTAAACATAATTAATACTCTAATCCTAATTTCCATTTTCCAAAATTATTTTATTTTAAATATTTTTAATATTATTGTGTATTCAATACTAAACATGGATGATATTTTAAAGCTAAAACATAATTATTATATTCAGTATCAACACTAAATAAATTTCTTAATAGAAAAATCATTTTATATGTATTTTTTTCTGGATCTTTGTCCAAATATCCTAATAATCTATTTAATGTTTCTTAATCTTTATTCCAAAATGCTTTTGTATATAAATGTTAAATAAATTATATTCTATATCTCAATTCTTTTTTATCAAGAATTTCTAATAATATATCAATAGCTTTAGATGGATTTTAATTGAAAAGTAATGATAATATTGTTTTGATATAAATTAATGTTCCATCATTTTAATTTAATAGCTAAATTCTTTTAATCATTGGAATAATCATTTCTTAATCCTTACAACATATTTTATTTAATGAAGTCTTAAGATATTTTAATATATCATCTGGCATATCATTTAATAATGCTATTTTCACTTCCTTATAACTACAAGAAAGCATTATTTATACAAAATGAGTTAATTTTATTTATTATTAACTTGGCTTAAGTATTTGATATGATTTAAGATTTATCACAGAATAAAGATGACAATTTTCTAATAAATTTAATTTTCTATTTGAATAATCTTCATCATATTTTAAATTATCAAGCAATTATACCAAAGTATTATTAAATTTTTCAACTTCTTCCATGTTTTTCTTAAAATTATAATTTAAAGGAAAAAAGTTTTAAGCCAAAATAGATGCTAAAACTATTCTAGTAGTTTGTGTATACTTTAAAACATAATTTAAACTCTAAAATGAATTATTCTATACAATGTCCTTTAATGATAATTTATAAATTATATCCTAAGTTATTTTTACTTCAGGATATATTTATGTTAAATCATCATAACACTCTTTAATTGTTATCAATGTAGCCAAAAAAGGTTTATGATTCTAAATAGTATACAAAGCAGCTTTTTCTTTATAATTCTTAGGTATAGGATATTCTTTTGGAGAAACTATTAAATTTAAAATCATTCCACCTAATCCCCAATTATATATATTTTCAAGTTAATTTTCATTAATTTTAAATATAGTATAACTAATAGTCCTTTCATCATCTAGAATAAAATTAAAGTCAAATTTAACATTTTTTGCATAAATGAAAAGTGAAGTACACCAAATTTCAGAATTAACACTAACATCAAAATAATCATCTAATAGATGCAAACCTTATGGGAAATTACGAAAGTTATCATTAAAATATAATTCAACTAATGTTTATACATTCTCTTCTTAATTTAGATTACATATTACATCAAACATACTTTCATTCTTTATATTATAATTAAAACCTTTAATTTTCAAGAATTAAATGAATTCCTTAAAATTATAAGTTGGACCATCATTAATATTAAATGTTTTCAATACTAAAATCACTCTTGTTTAACCTGCTGTATGATTTATTTTATAATAATTCTTACCATTTATAACTTGTTTTGAAGGTTCAGTAGATTTTTTCCATTGGATTCTTCCATTCTTTTCATCATCATTAGAACCAGTATTCTCTTACTCAAAATTAGCAACAAAGGTGATATTTCTATAAATTTCATTTATAAATTCATCATCTACTTATAATAGTTTATTATTTAGATAGAGTTTACGTATTATTTATAAACACACTTATTCATTTTATTTTAATTATAAACCTTTAATTTTATAACATTAATCAAATGATTTGTCATTTAAATCTATAAGTTGAGTATAAATACAATCAAAATAATATAGTTATTATTTGGATCTAGTATCATTATATCCATAAATAGAATTATTCAATTAAGATTTTGCTTCAAAATATCCATGTAAAGGTATCTTTAATAATTAAGGATTTGAGTTTATTGTTTCTTTGATATCTTCAATAAGAGGAGTTAATTGAGATCGATTTGATGTAAATTTAAGTATTTAAATTAATTTAGATATGTATTATGCTTATATATTGATTTCATTATTATTTTCTATTTATTATTTTTAATAAAATGGTTTAATTAATTAAACTTATTTCTTAACTAAATCATATTATTCTAATTAAACCAATTAAATAAGAAGGGGTCTCACAATTCCACTAAATTCATATGGATAATGAGTTGAATGTACATCAAAATTATTAATCCAACTTAAATTTATTTTGAATTTATGTTTTATTATTTGTTTTGCAACTTAAATATATTAATAATAAATCTTATCATATTATTAATAATCTTATTCTTCATAATTTTTAATTCTTAATCTTTTTGGTGTTTTTTAATTTTACATAGAATAAAAGTATTTTGTATTAGGATTAATTCTTTAATTTTACCAATCTTTTTTATTTCTCATAAATGCAGATTATAGTACATCCAAATAAATTTAATAAAAATCAAATTCTTTTTAAATATGTTAACTTAAAAATGTAATAAAAATATCTTAAGGTTCTTTCCAAAAATCCAAATAAGTAACTAATGGAATTTATTCATTGTAAGGTTATATTAATAAATCTTTTAATAAATCTTAATATTAATTTAGTTTATCAATAATTGATTAAATATCATCAATAGATTTTGTAGATTTATTTAAACAAAAACAATGAATTAAGTTTTTTCCTTTACGTGTAAAAAAATGTAATGACTTTTCTAAATTATCTGGATATAATGTAATATATTTATTAATGATATCAAAAGGTGCATTTTAAAATAACATCATCATTGGAGTTACTTATGATATATTTGGCATCAAATAATAATCATTAGAATATTACATAAATAAATCCCATTTATTTTAAAGTGCAATTTAATGAAAGATATTAAATTCTAAATGTTCTAAAACAGCCTTATCAATAATTCTAATATTATTATATCCTAATGGTATAGATTTAGGAACAATCAAATTTTAAAATTTAAAATTCTTTTTAGCTACTTTATATTATTCTATAAATTTTTTATTTTAAATTTCACTCTTTTAAAAAAGTTTGCTAATCAATCCAAATAATTTCAATTAATCTTAATCCTTCATATCTATATATGAATCAATATTATTAAATTCCAATTGATTTAATATACGTATTACTTCTGTAGAATCAAAGATTGATTAAATGAATAATATTGTTTATTATAATTATTCTTTAGTACTATAAAATGGTTTCATTTTATTTATCAATCTAAGAGCTATTGCTTATAATATTTATCCATCTGGTAATATATGATTAAGTAAGATATGTTGAATTATTTCATAATCATTAATGTAAATTAGGATTAATTCAATTAAGTAATAATTTTATTAATTCATTAAAGATAAGACTTCTATCAAAGGTTTATTATATTTTTGGCAAATTTCCTTAAACGTATTAAATATTTACTTACATCTAATGAATCTAATGTTAATTGTTTATTGTTAATTTATCTTTCGACTTCTTCAATAATAAACATTTATTCACTATCATTTTATTATTATTATAATGATTTAAGTTATCTCTATTTTTATACAAACTTTCTAATTCTTTAAGCCTCTTAACTTACTTCTAAATAATTAAAAATAATATTACTTGTAATTGGTTCATTAAAATCTGTTTTTTCATTTCCATTTTGCTTCTTAGATTTTATCATTTATTCCTCTATTTATTCTTCTTAATATTCATATGGATTTAAAGGTCTAAGATGATAATTATATAATTTCTACATTTAGCTTTCTTTAGGTGAAGTTTACTTTAAAGGAATACTTCCAGAATCTTTCTAATCTGTTTAAAACTACTATTAATTTTCAATAAAGATTTCTTAATCTTAATCATCTTGATTTTTTTGCATTTACAGTTATTATTTCTCTTTACCTTCATTTGTTTATGTTTACTCTCTATAATTTTTCTATTGATTAGGCTTATGATTTGTAGGCAAAGAAATTTGGCTGGCAGCACTGGCACAACAACCCATAATTGTAGTAATTTATAATATTTAATATAATTTATTATTTAGATTGTCAAATAATTATGAATGAATTCTGATTATTTCTGTGAAATATCAATAAATTGTCTAATCCATAGATTAAATAATTAATAAGTATTTTATTAGTTTATAAATATCCGCATTCCCTGATTTTTCAAGATGAAATCTAAAAAATCATCAATATTGTTAATTATTATATTATTAAAAGTATAAATAAGATTAGTTCATATATTTTATAAATAGATTACTATATTATAATCTAGAAATTATGGTGTAAATATATTTACAATTTAAATATTTTTGATAATATTTTTTTATCTTCGAATTCTATATATAAGGATATGACCAATCTGTAAGTATTATATATTAGAATTTATTTTTTAATCATTTTCGTCTATTATTAGTATATTATTTTTATATAATACATATTTAGAATTAATCCGATAGAATTATCTTAAGTGATAATGATTATTTTTATGTCTATAATAAGACTGAAAACTCACTACAAATAATTCCTATATTAATCATTCTCAAATTAGCTGTTAATTTCATAATCAATCTAGTGAGAAGAACTATCAATAACAATATTTTGTATATTAATATTACAATATTTTGGCTTTTATTTTTTGATAATAGCAATTATAATAGATAATCTAAATTAAATATCAAATTTTGTTTTTTACTTATTCTATCAGGTATTATTTTTAAAGGATTCCAATTTAAAATCCGATTTCTTCTCACATTTATGTGTTATTGTTAATTATTTAGTTCACTTAATTGTATAATAAAAATGATTAATTTTATTCGCATTGTTTTTAAATATTTTTATTATAAATCTATATTGGCCTTCCCACTTTTTCCTTTAAAAATAATTTCATGAATTTTATTTAAAATACCTATTTGACTGCTTAGAATTTATTAATGCTCTATGAACTCTTATTTTATTTTATAAATATATTCATTAATTTAAATGTATGTAATAAAATTTAAAATTAGATCAAAAATTTGTGTTGTATAAAAATACAATTATACAATACAAACAAAAATTTTGATTTAATTTTAATTATGCTTCAATAATCAATATCTAGAATCATACAAAAGAACTCCATAATTTTTCTTTAGATATAAAAAGCCTCAAAAAGAATTTGAAAGACAAATAGTTTAAGTAGAATAGAGTAGATGTAGGTCTTAAGGTCTTAAAAAGAGTAGATGAAGAGCAACCAAGAATAAGATTAATACGAATCCAAAACAATAATGATTATAGTTCATAATAAATACAAAAGAAATAAAAATAGAATTAACCTGAAGATTAATAAATTTATAAGTGAACTCTTAATTTTGTAATATATTTCTTACAATTTTAGAAAATTTTTCAGACTATTTGTTGAATATGTCTAAATCTAAACATAAACAATTTATATGGAACAAAATTTGAAAGTTAAATTTATAGATATAGCAGGATTAAATGTAAAATATAATGAATTTGTTTCAGGATTGTAAAAAAATTATTATAAGACTTGGTAAAAGTGGATATAGAGATTTATTTGAATAGGCTAAATAAAGTAAGTTTTTATTATTGAAATTGATGTTATTGTGAAAAAAAGCTGCAATGTTGCTGAAAGAGTTATGACAGATATAAAGAAATATCTCTGAAGAAGAAAGAAAAGCAGTTACTTATCATGAAAGAGAACATCCAGCTATTAGTTGGTTTTTAGAAGGTGAAGCTACTTTATTAACAGTAATTACTATTGTATAATCTATATAGTTAACTAACATACAATATTCAAAAGGTTTCGGTTCTTTAGGTTATGCAGAATATTTACTAAATAAAAGTTCTTTTGGAAATACTTGTTAAGAGAATATGTGGTTAATAGCATTTTCCAAATAGTGTGATGTAATATGCAAAGTAATAGTTGATGAAGTAAGAGATAAAATTGTTTAATTTATTAAAAAAACTAAGGAATTCATTGTAAAATATTAATAATAAATCTAATAATTATTTGAGTAATTATTCATTAAGGAAACTCATGATATTAAGGACCTTATTAATACCTTATGTAAAGATCACTTCCCCAAATTTTAAAGCATATTTAGATAATAAGAAGAAGGAGAAAGCCAATACTTGATTTAAATATGTTTAATTATTATTTTATTTTTTAAGTAAAATATATAATCAATTAGTATATAACTAGATCTTGAAATCAATCTATTATAATAATTAATATTTTAAATTATAAAATATATTATTAAACATAATAATTTTAAAATTGCATTATTTGATGTTCATAATCTAAAGACATAAATAAATTTAATCAATATAAATTTTTATTATTCATAAAAATTAATAATATGTATATTGATCTTATATCAACTCATATATTAAGTTTTTTGATCATTCTTGAAGGATTCTATAAATATGGAATGTTTCTTATTCTTACTGTTGTTCTCCGAAATAATATTTTTTAAATTTTGTCTTTATAATATAATTATAATACTCCAAAATTTAATTCATTTATATAAGAAAATAAATAAATGTTCTCAGAAGCAACTAAGGAAGGAAAATCAGATTAATTGGTTCCTCAATTAAATTAGAATCCCAGTAGCACATTCTTTGTTTATAATTGTTACATACCTGTTGTCTAGGATTTTATGAATCAACCTCCAACATTGCAAGTTAGAAATTCAAGTATGTTTGTTTTTAGAAATATAGGTGAATCATTCCCATAAATATTGAAATAAACAGACAGTTTATAAATGGGACATCTTGGAGGTGGGATGTCAATTCCAAGTTTTTAATTTGGTGCATCTACACCTTTTATTAATGCAGAAGATGTAATGAGAAATGTTCAACCATAAACAGCATAGAATCATTTCGCATCATTTATTTTAAATGAATAACTCAAACCATAGAATCAACCTTAAAAAAATAGAATTATTGAAGGAACGCAAATTATGTGTGACATTGAAATTGTACTCATTTCTCGTTATTTCGATATGAAGGCTACTGTAATTGATTTGTCCGATTAAGATAGGTATTTTGCTCTCCTAACAATAAATACAATTTAAAAGAAGACACATCAATTTCGAATTCAGAATGGTTGAAAGATAGAATGTCATACAGATACAAAAAACCTGTATATATATATAAGAATAAAATTAGATCAAAGAATCTTTTTGTGATATGATTGAAGTTATTTAAAAAGAAGGTGAAGCAAACATGAAGGGAATCGTCTAACCGATTAAATTCTAATAAAATGGTTTTGATTCTATAGAACGGTAAGTTCCAAAAAGTGTGAAATTAGAAAAACCATTCTCCCTTTTCATTTTAGAAATACAATAACTTGTTTCTTAATTTATATTTAATACCTATTGAAAAAATTGAACTGAATGTTGTTTAAATGTTTATATGTTCCTTATTTTAACCATTTTCCATAAATTATTTAATCATAATGCATCAATAATGTTTCACTATTCCATATTATTCAAAATTAATAATTAATTATTTATTATTTATTATAAATTATAAAATTTTTATATTTTTATATTTTATAATAATACTAATCCTATTTTATAAAAAAAAAGATATATACATATATATATATATCTATAATAAATTATAAATATATTAATCTTATTTATAAACTCAACCCCATCTATACATACCAGGTGGATAAAATGGACGAGCTATCATTTTATCTGAAACTTAATATGCCTTAATAGCAGGTAAATTTGCAAAATTTTCATTATGTTTCTTTAATCCAACTAAAGTTGTAAATACTTCTGGTTTATAATTTCTCAATATTTCCTCTGCTTCAAACAATTAAAAATCAATATATGTCAAATTATCTCCCACAGCCCATTTTTGATTCTCCAAGAATTTACTTAGTTTCTCTGCTATCCATAACACTTCTTGATTAAAGAAATTATCCTTCTTTGCTTCAAATTAGTCTTCTGGAATTGTAAATAATGTAATCAGACTTTTGAATAAGTCTTACAAAACTCCTCTTACAGATGCCAGAGTAACCTATTCCTTTGGATTTTAACCTAATAACTCTGGTTTATTGGCACGGTAAGCCAAATAAACATAGAGTGCTTAGCTCTCAAAAACTAATTCATCTCCATCCTTTATGTAGGGTAAATTCACTAGAACATGTTAATTGAGTGGAGCAGATGTAACATCAGCAAACCATTCTTCAGGTTTGTAATATCTTTTTTCCTCATATGGTAATCCTAGATACTCTAAATAGAATCTCACTATAAATAGTGATTATATAATTTACATGGTTAAGCAAGACCTCTTATAGCCCAATATCCTAAGACAACTTTGTCTCCCATTTTTTAATTAAATTATTAACCAAATTTAATTTTAAGAGTTGTATTTAAAGGGTAAATAGTAGTATAGATTTAGAATATTCTATAATTTAATATATACAAAAATAGTTATAAATTAATGAATTATATATATATAATAAAATGTAGAATAATTAATAATAATAAGCTAAAAAAGAGGAAGGTGCCACTTTAATTTTGGAAGAGAAATTTAAATTATATTTAGGGGATTTGGATGACGCATAGAATAAGGTATTTTAAGAAGTTATAGGTTAAGCAATGGCTAAAATAACATAAAATAGGTTGTGTAATAACAGTTGCAAATGGTTAACCTGTTAGTTATTATGATAATAAAATAATACATCATTATTATTTTATAGATGATAAAGCAGATTTTAAAATATAAAAATATTTTTCAAAAGTATTTCATGATATTGATAGAGAGATTCAAACAACTAATGTGTTAAGTAAATTATACAAAATTAATTTATAGTACATTGTGCTGCTGGAATTTCTAGATCTGCTACAATTGTTATAGCATATTTAATTATGAAGAAAGGAATGTCATTCAAATAAGCATTTCATTATGTTAAAAGTAGAAGACCAATGATAAGACCTAATCCAGGTTTTTTGAGTATACTTGAATCTTTAGAATAAAA